CTCTCTCTCTCTCTCTCTCTCTCTCTCTCTCTCTCTCTCTCTCTCTCTCTCTCTCTCTCTCTCTCTCTGTGTATAAGGTCATTTAATAAGATAATAACTTGAAAAAAATATTATCTGTATGTATATATCATATCTTTCATATCAGGTAAGCACAGCCTGGACTTTCAAAACTGCCACTATGGCCGCCATGTCCAGGTTGCTCATGAAGGCCAGTGTTCCTCGCCATTGCTCTATACCACACCAAGGCCTGTTATTACCACGACCCCAAGAGATAAATGCAAATATAAGCTCTGTACTCCCGGGGCACCACAATACTGTGGATCTAATGGCATTACTTATAAATGTAAGTTTTATTATATTACATATTTTATTATATACAAGTGTGAATATTTTGTCTTTGTCAATCACATTTGTGATTCTTGTTGTAAATAAGTTGTTTTAATTTTCAAATTCATTGGTAAACTTTCAATCATGAATTGACTTGAGATAATTAAAGGAGTGCCAGTCTGATAGAATACTATAGTCTGTTAGAATTCTACTCACTGATGATTTGTTGAAACAATAAGGTAAATGTGGATACATACATTGGGTTCTATTTCCTTGTCTGCTTAGATAATGCAGAAATAAGCCTCATGTTATGAGATTATGTTATCACATCAAAAATACATTGTAGTGAATTTGCTGATGACATAACAGCAGCATTTATTGGTGAAAATTGTGTTTTCAGATTCAAGCAGATTTCTCTCACCTAAATTGCCGTTGAAACCATTTGATGCCATTTAATCACAACTATAACCACTACAATTCGTTGCCAGGGATTCTTTCTGAAAGTCTCACATCTGATTATCAGTAATATAGAAAGGCGATATAATGCTTTTGTTTGATGGATCATCATAGCTAGGGGCTCATATCTAATAAACAAAAATTCAAAAGCAACAAATAGTAGATCACACAATGTTGTTGTCAACCATGCCAAATTTCATGTTGATATCTAACTTACTTACAGAGTTACACCCTAAACCAATCACTATCTTACATTAATTTAAAAATCAGTTAAATTGATAATAAATGGGGACACAGCTTAAAAGCAGAAGGGTGTGAGATGGTGAAAAAACAAGGACAATTTGATGTATATATCCACCTTAAACTAATGTTTATTTTGTAAAGATGTATAATTTTCAATGTAAAAGCATGTGTATATTTTTTCACATAACATTTTGTATGTATGTATGTATATTTATTTCATTAGATCATACCAACAATGACTTCGATGTGAATTTTTATCCTAGGTAAAGAAAATTTGGAGTACTGGAATTGCATGGGTCATAATGTAAAAATTGCTTATCCTGGGAAATGTTATCAAAGAACTACTACACCAAGGCCCAGTGCTGTGTTAAACCCATGCACAGCCTCGTGCTCCTCCACCCCTCGCATTTACTGTGACCACCATGGCTTTGAATATAGTAAGTCACCCTGTGTTTTAAGAAGTTTATAATAGATATAAATATCTGTGACTATTTGTTCACTAAGCTTCAATAAGGTAATGGTTAAGAATTTTGTTTTACTATTTCAAGAGGTATCATAGCATTGACAAAAAAAAAACTAATAACTAAATTTTAGGGTCATACAAAGCATTTTTTATCGTAATATTTTGTCTGGAAATATCTCCTAAATATAACCATATGCATTTGGTTTTCAACATGATATTCTAAAATCAACAATGAAAATAAATGTTCCTAATGAAATAAAATGGTTTCCTTTTCTTTACTAGCTGATCAGTGTGACTTCTATCATACTGCCTGTTTGTTCTCAAGAATTGGTAAATCCCTCATACAGTCACCATGTCCCACTGGCAATGTAACTCCTGACGGTACTGGACTGGGCTTAAGTGTCATTGGGGCCATCATTGGATAGGAATAGAGCAAAACTTTGTCTATTTTCACATGTACTCAATGCTAATAGCAGTAGTGATCAGCAACCATTTAATTGTGGTTTGACATAGACAAAACTTCTAAACCATTTCTTTAAAAGTGAGATCAATAAAGTATACTAACTAGTTTATGTATTTGTAATTTATTGCATTTTTTGCTAAATTATTTCCTCATTGCTGTGCTGCAGGTGTGGAGGGGGGATGGGGTGTGTAAATGCTTAAGTAATCTGAACACACAGATTGGAGCATTGATGGGCTTATATATTTTTAAGATTTTAAATGTAAACAGTGAAAATTAAAAACTGTAACCTACAATGCCATCTTTCAAGTAGGATCGAAGAGTATTTAAATATAATTATTCTACATCCACATTGTATATTTTTTCTCAAAATTTCTTAATTAATTTTTTTTAATAACAAAGGTTTCATTAATTAATTCAGATTTGATTCTTTCATTTAATTTATATAATTAATGTGAATGTCAAGAGTCCCACCTTCTCTTTCCAAACTGCTAGAAGATGCAATAAAAAAAGAACATTACTACAGGTTGTACCTCCATTTCCCATCAAAGCTCTGTGCTAGCTCAGATACAGCATGGCAGTAAAATTTTTATTGAACATAAGATTTTCATAATTTAATCTCAATAAACTGAAAATTGTGAACCTTAATTACTTTCACATGTTATTTTGTTTAATATCTGGCAAAAAATGAGTGTATCAAAGTAAAAAAGAAATATGCATTTTGTTTGCATCAATTTTGAAGCAATTTGAATTGAAACTGTATGCACTGATTTAAATAAATGATATATGTATGGCCAATAATTGGAGTTCTTGCATAATTTGTCACAATTATTATTTGAATCAGGCAAGCTTGTTTATCTTTTGGCACATATGTACACATTAAGCCGCTGAGACAAAATGTCTGGGTCATGCCAACTTTAAGTTGAAATTCATGACACTCAAGTAAATCTTGTGAACAGAGCCTAACTGGCCATGTGCAATGGATCCCAGTGCATCAGCCAAGAAAGAGATCAACTCTCATCATGCATGAGTGTTATCGCAAAGGATGGTACCTATTTATTCTGATTGCATCACGTTCCATCCCTCATGGGTGACGTCCACATAGAACCTGGAAAAATGAATGGACTGTGGATGGTACTGTTCTGTTTATCAGGTACATGTATGCAAATTAATATTGGATGTCAGATATGTACTATGGTATTTTGATTCTGATTTAAGTGCAGTTTGGATGTAAATGAAAAAAAAACACTTCATTTCTACAAAGTTCTTTATAGCTTTTTCTTTACTCTTTGATAGGCTCACTGTTCAATATGTGGTATTACAAATTATTTACTACAGAAAAATACTTAATTTTTTATATTATCTATGCAGGTATGGTGTACTTACTTTATTCTATATTTGTATGTGTGTGTGTGTGTGTGTGAAAGAAAGTTATATACTGTACATGTACATAAAGTTTGATGATGCAATAAAAAACCTTACTGAATAAATCTTTAATGCAAAAAATGTACTCTCGATAAACATAAACTAATAAATTTATGTAATGTAAGTGTATATTCAGCAAGTATTATTTTCTTTTTATATGTATGATATACTTCACATAAATAAACAAAATAATTAATTATTATTATATAACTTCAGTGATAACAGTTCATGTGAGAGGCCAACTATCTGAATGTGGCAGGGAATGTCCAGAGGAGTATATTCCAGTATGTGGGTCTGACAGGAGAACTTACGGTGAGTTGAAACATCAAATAATCCATTAGGCATATCCTTGCCACTAAAACTGTAACTGTCCTTCTAAGTGTTAAAGAACAAGAGGTTATTGTGTGGTGCTCTGAAACTATACTGAGGATTTGTAAAGTGTACATTTATTTTGGCTTAACTTTTGGTGCATGTGCATGCTTATATTATTTTAAGTGCATGTTTACAGAAAATAATTTAAGATGTGGTTGTTATTTGTAATAACTCTTGATATGAGGACTCCACTGATTAAAATCTTGGACAGCATTTAAAAAGTCACTGAATGCTGGGTAAGTGTCTGTATATATTCTGATTGGTCTGTCTGTCGCCGTTGCTGTTGCTGATGCTGTCGGACACATGATGTTCGCCCCATAACTTTCAAACCATATTTTTGTTTTACTTAAAATTCACCAAGTGGCTTTGTTTGGTAAAGAGGCAGGTTGCTTTTGAAAATCAGCATGATTGGTTTGCATGTACAGTAATAATTCTTTATTTTATTTATTTATTTATTTTTTCTTTTTTTTTTTGCACAATTTTGGTGACATTCTGCCTGTACCGGTATCTGCCAAACCATATAGAGGCAGGTTGCTTTCAAAAATTACCATGATCACTTTACATTTATGGTAATTATTCTGTTTTTTTTTTTTTTTTTTTTTTTTTTTTTGCACAATTTTGATTCCATAACTTCCAAATCATATTTTTGTTTTACTTTTACTTTTCCAAGTTGCTTTGTATGGTAAAGAGGCAGGTTCCTTTCCAAAATCAGAATGATTGGTGTGTACATTTATTATTATTATTATTATTATTATTATTTATTTATTTATTTATTTTTTTGCACAGTTTTTGTGACATCCCCCCCCCCCCCCAGCCAAACTGTATTTTTGTATTACTTAATTTTTTTTTTTTTTTTTTTTGGGGGGGGGGNTTATATATACTATTTTAAAGCATTATGTAACAGTGCATCAAAATTGGCCAAAACATTTTGTGCACTTTTTCTGTATAATGTTTGAACATTTGACAGTTTTGCTGCCTTGTTTCCTGTATGTTGTCTGTATATTTGCCAGCTTTGCTGTCTAGTTAATATAGTTGGTAAATACTATTACTAAATTTACTGTAACAGTCAATGCTGTCAGGGTGTTTTCATTTTTCAAGCATGTTGTAAATGCAGGGCAGACCCAGAATCCACTTCATAAAAACATGAATGATTGAAATTTAACAATCTTTTAAATATAATGCATGCATTGACACTTAAATGTTTAACTTAATTTTGGTTCTTTCAGGTAATGACTGTGAGCTGGCCATTGCTATTTGCTTGCAGGGGCAACAGTTGAAAAAACTCGGAGATGGGGAATGTTCACAATTTACCACAGTGCCCACAACCACTACCACCTCAGAAATAACCACCACATCAGAGAAACCAACCACCACCACCACCACTACAACCCCAAAACCAACCACCACCACCACTACTACCCCAAAACCAACCACCACCACCACTACTACCCCAAAACCAACCACCACCACCACTACTACCCCAAAACCAACCACCACCACCACTACTACCCCAAAACCAACCACCACCACCACTACTACCCCAAAACAAACCACAACACCCTACATCAGATGCCCTAAAGTCCAATGTGCCCCTGGTGCTCAGTCTGTATGTGCAAACAATGGGAAAAAATATGCTTGTAAGTTTTTTAAATTGTTCATAAGGTAATGACTTAAAAATTTAATAATATTTTTGTGATTTTTTTATATTTTACCATCAAGTAATCTTTTTTCTGATCATTTATGACACAGATTGACAAAATAAAAAATAAACAATTATTCGAATACTGAACAGGTAAAGCATTACTGGACTATGAAAACTGTATAATGCACAGCAGGGCCACAGTGTGGAATTGCGGATGCTTGGAGAAAAATTGTGGGCTTTTTAATCGACCTGTTTGTGGAAATGATGGAAAGACCTATACTTGTAAGTAGAAGGGATATGAAAAACTGATGATAGTCAATTTTGCACTTTCCCTTATTCAACAAAAATGATTAGTTTATGTTTACAGGCAAAAGGTCTCCTCTTTTAAGCAAATAATTTTCAAAATTAATGAATTTCAATTATGTACGAGTAAGATGGAATTGGCCTTATTCTAGAAAAATATGTTGAAGAAACATGTTCTTGTTAAAATCTTTATAATGTGTATCCATTTTATTTCAGGTAGACAACAATTGGAATACTTTAACTGCCGTTATGGATCCAGAGTGTATTACACAAGGTTAGGGGCATGTCCAACAACTAAACCAGGACCTACAACCCCAAAAAGTGTATCAAATCAGTTGTCGGAGGTGGAAAAAGCTTGTCAAGATATTAAGAATGGGGACTGCCGGACAACATCTTATGTATGTGTAGCACCAGATTGGAAAACATACAGTAAGTAATGAAAGTGTGTGTGTGTGTGCGTGTGTGCGTGCATGTGTGTGTGTGTGTGTGTGTGTGTGAATGATACTGTAAATATGTTTATGTTTGTCAAATGTGATGTAACACTGTAGGTCATAAATTGTATTTTTTATGGTCATAAATGGCATTTTGTTGTACATAATTTGCTCCAACCTGAAGAGCTTTCTCTTATGTTTTTCAGATGAATGTGAGTACTTGAGGGCTAAATGCCATAATGGCAATGGTACTCCTATTTGGTGGCATGGGGGAAGATGCTTTGTAGATGTGGACATTAACAACCTATTTGGATAGAAAAACTGGAACTCATTTGTTACATATTCCAAATTCTGTTACTTGTTGCTTGTGGTGAAATAAACATTTGTTACAGGTTATGTTTTTCCAGATCAGATATCCTCAGCTGCAAGTATATAAAGCACCAAAACAATTTTAATTGTTACACTTAGTCACTCACATATTACCTAACTAACTAATTCACTAAAAAAATTCTTCCTGACTAATATTATAACTATTTAAACATAACATACTCAGCCAAATGACATAACCAGTAACCAACATCCCAAATGGCAAACGCATTGGTGACAATTTTGACACCTATATGTCATATGACAACTGATATCACAGCTAGGGAAGTTACCTAAAATGTTAACATAAGAGTGAAGATAATTAAAACAATCCACCAGCATATCAAAAGCATCATAAAACCAGTAAAATCGCTTTAAAATATTTCTTTATGAATTTCTAAAAGAATGTTGTATGAAGAAAAAAACAATGCTATTAGTCTTGATGAGTGAGCAATAAAGCCAAGGATAAACTTGTAATGTAACTTATCTATTATGGCATCGAATAGAGAAAGAGATACCCTCATGCAATCGTATCAACGGACAAAATGGCTTTTCAAAAGAATTAAGGGATACTTGTACTAAAATACCCAGAAAGCACAAGGCCAGTGGTCCAACTTTGGGCTGACATTGGGCCAACTTTTCCTGACATTGAATAACAGACATTGGGTTGTCATTGGTCCACTAAAGGTATTATTTGCCTGTACCTCAAGGTTGGAGTGACCACATTTGATACTGGGACTAATACAAAATCTGCATGCAAAGAATATTGGCTGTCAGTGGTGAAATTCCATGAAAATCTTTGGGCTTGTGTACCAGACCTTTACATTAAAAAACATCCGCTTCACATCTGAGGACTTGCAAGAGGTTGGAAAGCGAAGATTGAAGGGAAACATGAAACTAAAACTTTGGGCCTGGAGACTGGGATTTCTGAATTACGCATTTACCTTGTCTGTCTCAACCTACAGTATTAGTAGCTACTCAGTAACATGATAAAAAAACTTGGTCACTGAATTCAGAATGAGACAGCTTGACTGTTTCCACGCCTTCACAATCAATACACCTGTTCTACATGTACTGTACTTACTACCACTGTGATATAGACTGGTGTTAATACCAAATGCAGACAGCCTGACATACTACCGCCTTTGTATAGTGTACACCTAAGAAGATGAAGACATTATTTTTGCTATGTCTTACAGGTATATGGATTATGTTTTATTACATATTGCCTGCACGGGCAGATACAGCATTCCCTTTCCCCATTTCACCCTCCTGTAAAGACATCATTGAAAAGGATGGTGCATTTTGGGAGATTATGCTATAATTCTGTGGACTTTTCTTTTCCCTTTATTTTTCAGCCCCACCACTTTTGTTTTGGAAAGGGAGAAGGGAATTCCCTTATGTTTCTGCTTGTGAACTGTTATGTAGTCTATGTTTATTGTACCACCAGCGTAGGCGCTGGCGGTACCCATGGTTTTAGTCCCGACCCGTATGTTCCGCCGGCTCCTGCGGCTCCGCCGGCTCCTGCAGCTCCGCCGGCTCCTGCGGCTCCGCCGCCAAGTCACCGTTACCGCTTCTCCTCCTAGACGGTAAGGGCCCCTGTATCCATCTCTTGGATTTAGGTCACCTATAATCTCAACTCATTCCATGTAAAATTTGGGCTTTGTCGGTATTGGGGTCTAGGTGTGGCACTCATTGCAATGCACCCTTGTCTAAAAATGGCAAAATTAAATGCTAATTATCTACCCTACGGAAGGAGTTATGGGAAAAATTTCTACAGACAGCTTTCCAAAAGTCATATGTGTAGATTTCAAATATGCCCTTGGATTTGACCTTTGACCTTTATTTCAAGGTCAAACGGGCCAAAATTTTCAAAAAAA